TCCAATATTTATATGTTCAGAAATGAACATACAATGATTCCATTTCTGCCTTATAGAATCTCCGAGAATAGATTCACCTATTATACATAGAAAACATCGTTATATTCACATGTCTGATGTTTTGTTATATAATTTTTCAACAAAAAGAATGATATATACTTCTTTATCTTGATACAATCAAATTATATATCATGTCAATATCTTCCTGATTCGGATCAAACAGATTATCAAACACAAATACTACAATGTACGAACCTTTCTCAGCCCTCTAGAATTCTTCATTAAACAGTTTGAATCAGATTTGAGTAGGTATAGCAAGGAATTTCTATCGATTCAATTTGGCAACAATGCGCTACCGCTTGTTCCGAGTCTCCACGCGTCTCACACATTCTGGTATATTGACGGTCTGTCGATGTACGGTTCTGATGTTTTACGGGTCTGTCAATGTACGGTTCTGCCATTTTACGGTTCTGCTATTTCACGGGTCTTAATCCAAAAAATTCTGAAAATTTACGGGTTTGGTAGCTGCACGATTCTGCCATTGTACGAGTCTGTCATTTTACGATTCTGCTGTTTTACGGGTCTGTCGTTTTACGGTTTTGATGAATTATGGATCGGAAATTCCGGTAGTCCGATGGATTATGAGTCTGTCGATGTACGGTTCTTGCATTTAACGGATCTAGAGTATTGGCAGTCTGTGCTTTTACGAGTCTGTCATTGTACGGATCTTTCATTTTACGGGTATCAAAAATCGACAGTCTGTCTTTTTACGGGTATGAACTTTTCGCATTCTGCCATTTTCAGATTCTGTGCATCACAATTCTGCCAGTTTGCTGGTCGGGAATGTTCATTCTGATGAAATGGTGGTCTACAGAGTACGGGTCGCTGAATTACAGTCTGTGCTTTTACGGTTCTATGACTTTACGATTATATATTTTTATGATTCTGACGACATGAAGAGTATTTTATTTACTGGTTTAGCAAAGTACACTTCTGAATATATGGCAGTCTTTCGATATACTATTGTGATTTATGCATTCTGACATAATGCAGTCTGTCAAAGTACGGTTCGACAAATTACGGGTTGTACATATTGCAGTCGCTGAAATATGGTTCTGATGATTTGCTATTCTGATTTCTTACTATTCTAGTCAAATAAATTCCTACTAATCGACGGTCTGTGTCGATACGTTCTGATGATGTATATGGACCCTGTCATAATGACGTCAAAACTCGCGTCAAAATGACGATTGATGATACGTAAAAATGATTCCTTCAACATGGTGTGATAAACACCACTAGCCTCGGATGACATTATATTATATTGATTATGCATTGTTGAGTCTGCTTGGTGGGTCCCTCCTGTGTCATGTTCATTCAATCGCCTATTCAGCAGCGCCAACCTTCAGTACGCATCTCCATCAGAATGCAATCAGTTACATGTATTTGTATCAAAAATTATGTAGTAGTGTAGTGTCGGCGAGATGTAAGCAAACAAAGAGTAGTTTGATAGCAATGGAAAGAATGTTGGCGAATTTGGCTTCACTTTGTTGAATAATGTATATTGATGCATTCTTTGTCACCCAACAAAAATCTAAATAGCAAATTATTGAAACATTTCCTAAATGACCAAGCTCACCAATAATTGGTACGTCACACCGACGTGATTTTTAGACGTCATAGATACGTCACTGCAACGTCATAAGAGTAACGGTTTCAATTTAGGTATACCTAAACAATCATTTTTATATATACATAGCTTGTTGGTTTCCGAGATATACAGTGTGTCAAAGTTTTTCAGAAAAAAGTTTTTCTACTACTTTTCGGGTATATTAATAATTAGAACAAAACTTGCATTTTGATTTGCTTTCATAAGTTATACTTCTGTTTCACATGATAATATAAGCATAGATTAAACAAAATATAAGTATCCATGGTTCAGAGGAGATCTGGGGAAAATGGACGTCGCCAGGACGTCTCTGCAACGTCATGAAAGTGACGTCTTCTTTTACCCATCTGAGTGACGTTCACTCGACGTCGAATCGATGACGTGATTATCACGTCATAGAAAGTACGTCATAGTGACGTCATAAATTGGTGTGTGACGTCTCTGGTTGCCTGGGTCTTAAGGTCAAAATAAGCCGATTTACAACAACTTGACTCAGTTCGAAATTGCACTATTTCCGAGATGAAGATGAAATATTGAATCCAAGAAAGTATTTTGAAAGATCTATTATTGTACTGCTATAGCACTGACCAAATTACATCCAAGAAGATAGGAGCAAACATTTTTTATTCAAAATTATTTGAATATTCCGGCTGCTGCATCAAAATGAAAAACCGGAATATCTCGTATATGTATACGTATAGTAATTCGTGACGTAATCGCATCCAATATTTCGTTTTTTGAATTGACTCGGTCGTTACTTGATGGAAATCTGTAGCAAATGAAAAAAGAACGATACTTACAGTACTTACTTGGTGCAGATATTTTGTTAAAATTATTCTTGGAACATGAACCCCAAATACTTATGCGATAGTTCATTTTACTAAGGATGTGAGAGTAGGGCTGGGAAAAAATATCGATATATCGATAAATATATCGATATATCGAATAACGATATTCAAATTTTTAATATCGATATATCGATAAATATCGATAAGTACCGATATATCGATAAATATCGATTAATATCGATATATCGATAAATATCGATAAATATCTTATTTAGAGAATAATGGTCATCATTTTGAACAATTGTTATGAATGTTTCTGTTGGTATTGCCAAAATTAAGTTATTAAAGTAATTCGTGTAAGAATTCATAATTAATTTGAAGCGCTGCATTGAATAATATGGTGAAATATTTTTTTTCCACTTTTCGGTATTGAATAACTATATAGTCTCTCAATGTTTGACACTAGGGCTGGAAAAAAATATCGATATATCGATAAATATATCGATATATCGATATATCGAATAACGATATTTAAGTTTTTAAATATCGATATATCGATAACTATCGATAAATATCGATATATCGATAAATATCGATATATCGATAAATATCGATAAGTATCGATATATCGAACTTATCGATAAATTTCAACTTATCGATAACCGATAACTGAAATCCAATATCGCGCAGCCCTATGTGAGAGTATAGAGCGGTATTTGCTATATATTTGGGATAAGTTTTGGACATCTTCTTAGGGCACCAACTATGGGAGAAATTCTTTCTTTGAGGATGCCAAAATATGCTTGTCCCATGTTAACTTTTCATCAATCCAAACACCAAGGTATTTGGTATAGGCAGTTTGTTTCAATATTTAATTCTTTATTCTAATATTCAAATCAATATTTTGTTCATTCCTTTGATGGAAAGTTATATACAGTGTGTCCCACTTACCATGCTCAATTGCTCACCATGGGTATATTTTTAACGGTGAGAGATACGAGGTCGGTTAAATGACACCAAATGTGGAGTTTGTCAAGGCCAACTATAATGTGAAAAAATATTTTGATGAAATCTATTCGTTTTTGTTTTATACGCAAAAAACAGATTTTGATCATTTTCATGTCTCCTCCGTAACTTTTTTATTTATGAAAATATTCAAATAGGAATTTCACATTCTCATGGCAGTTTTTCAAAGTGATTTCGAAAAAAATATGAAATTTGTATCAACTTTTCTAGAATTTGAGATATCAGCACCAACTTTAGTTTTTCAAATGTAGGTCAGCTCAATATGACTTAGTCACAAATAACTTTTTTTTCTCTTACAGATGATATGTTGCAGTAATAGTTTTGTGTTGATAACAATGGAGTTATCGTCATTTATACAAAAACAAAAAATTATTTGGAAGCCGCCATCTTGAATTTATACATTTTAACAAAAAAATCGTGATCTCCGACCTCAAAAACCCCCACTCACCAATTTTGAATGGAATCGAACCAAATCTTGGCCGCCATCTTTCAGCACCAATTTTTTTTAATTTCAACAAAAATTCCATAATGTATTGTCACCGAAATTATGAACACCTGCCAAATTTCAAGTTAATCGAAGTTATGGAATTTTTGTTGAAATTAAAAAAAATGGCTGCTCCAAGATGGCGGACAAGATTTGGTCCGATTCCATGCAAAATTGGTAAGTGGGGGTTTTTGAGGTCGGAGATCATGATTTTTTGTTAAAATTCTTAAATTCAAGATGGCGGCTTCCAAATAATTTTTTGTTTTTGTATAAATGACGATAACTCCGTTGTAATCAACACAAAACTATTACTGCGACATATCATCTGTAAGAGAAAAAAAAGTTTTTTGTAACTAAGTCATAGTGAGCTATGACCTACATTTAAAAAACTAAAGTTGGTGCTGATATCTCGAATTCTAGAAGAGTTGGTACAAATTTCATATTTTTTTCGAAATCACTTTGAAAAACTGCCATGAGAATGTGAAATTCCTATTTCAATATTTTCATAAATGAAGAAGTTACGGAGGAGACATGAAAATGAACAAAATCTGTTTTTTGCGTATAAAACAAAAACGAATAGATTTTATCAAAATATTTTTTCACATTATAGTTGGCCTTGACAAACTCCACATTTGGTGTCATTTAACCGACCTCGTATCTCTCACCGTTAAAAAGATACCCATGGTGAGCATGGTAAGTGGGACACACTGTAGTGTGTCTTATTAGAATTGAGAGAAAGAAGATTGAAGTATAGTCATTCTCCCATTTTCTTCAAATCCTCATTTATGTTGTTTTCTAAAATTACAGGGTTTTTGTTTTCTCATAAAAGTACTGTGTCATCTGCACACATACAGAATTCGGCCCAACACTGATTCTTGGGAAACTCCTTTGTTTATATATAGTATTTTAGATTGACAATTATTGATTTAAGTACTTATAATCCTTTTTTCTAGAATCTTATTGGTCTCTGGGTCATACAGATATTCTTTACTACCTCGGTGTATAAATAACTATTAGTCCATGCCCAACTCACCCTTTGACGTAGATATCGGACATCTTCTCGCCGGTGAAAAAAGCGTCGTCCTCCAACACAACGTCGTCAGTGTTCCACACGATCACCCGCAGCTCGTACCCGCTGGGCTTGCGCGGCGAGATATCAACAGCGGGACCAGGCAGGGGCATGTCCATCGGGAACATGTCCACCCACATCTCGAGCCGGCCCTGCTCGATGCCCGGTTTGTCGGGGCTGTACAGTGGCCGGGTCTCGACGTGCTCGGGCACCAGGGGGCAGCCGAACTTGGGCAGCTCGTGCCACCTGCCGAAGATCAATATTGAGTTGTTGTTATGGTTATACAGAGTGGGCCTTTGAAAACGAAACAGAGGCACTAGTGGTCGCCAAAACCGGATTATCAAAAAAACTGGAACAACTCAACTACATTTTCGAGGGGGACATCTTTCTAAAATATTTTCAGCCCTGCGGCGTTGCCGCTTCTAAAGAAAAGGAGCAACAACTTTGTTATTTCAAATGGAACACCTTGTATTTTATTGCATTCTTAGATTCTCTCCGAAGAGCTGAATTCATCAATGCATCACACTTGGGGTCTAGCTGTAATGGTTTCAGGGATATAAAGTGTTCAAAATCGAGATTTTTCAACTTTAAAATTTTTTTGTGTCGAAACTATTCATTATTGGTCAAAACGGCTCTCATGTCCCTATCTCAACTTGTGATTTACTATCTACTGACATTCATTTGAAACAAATACAGGGTGGTTCAAGATTCAGAATTCTGATCACCCTGTATCTGTTCCAATTAAATGTTAGTAGATAGTGAATCACAAGTTGAGATAGGGACATGGGAGTCGTTTTGACCAATAATGATTAGTTTCGACACAAAAAAATGTTAAAGTTGAAAAATCTCGATTTTGAACACTTTATATCCCTGAAACCATTACAGCTAGACCCCAAGTGTGATGCATTGATGAAATCAGATTTTCGGGGAGAATCTAAAAATGCAATAAAATACAAGGTGTTCCATTTGAAATAACAAAGTTGTTGCTTCTTTTCGTTAGCACCCTAACAACACCAGTACATCCTATAGGGACTTTCCATGGACGTCCCTGATTTTATACTAGGACATCCCAGGGATGTCCTTTGTCGGGACAACGTACATACTAGGGATGTCCCAGGGACAGCCGCTGGCCGCTAAAAAAGGCATCCAAGGGATATCCTTCTGGTACGTCCCTGGGATGTACCAAGTACGATGAAAGGATATCCCTAGGACGTCCCAAGGATATCCCAGAGACATCCTTTCGACAAAAAAAAAAGTTGCAGGTCGAGTAGGGATTGAACCCGGGACCTTTGGCTTATCATGCACGCACCTTGCTCCATTGGCTATCATGCCTCCTGAAGATTTATGTACTAAACAGATTTATAAACAGGACTTAACTACAGAAACCTGAATGAATACAACTTTATTAGGAATTGGGTATGATTATTATCATTCTTGGGTGTTTAAAAATGAGGGGCATTATGCATGTACGATCTGTCTGCGAAAAATGGTAATTTCTTGAGAAGTTCTGAGACTTTATTCTTTATTTTCATGACAATCATTTTCCGGAAGAGAAACAAACATTTTCGAAAAAATTCAACTCGATAGTTTGATCAAATTCAATGACTCTGATGTGAATGGACATCAGATACTCCAGGGACACGAATAGGATAACCTAGGGATGTACCGGGCGGGATGTCCACTGGACAACCACTGCAGGACATCCCCTGGATGTCCCAATCATGTCCTTGTACCGCGGGACAAAAAAGGGATGTACCTAGGACATCCCTGTGTTGTTAGGGCAGCGGCAACGCCGCAGAGCTGAAAATATTGTAGGACGATGTCCCCCTCGAAAATGTAGATGACGTGTTTCAGATTCTTTTCATAATCCGGTTTTGGCGACCTACAGAGCCTCTGTTTCATTTTCAAAGGCCCACTCTGTATACAGCGGCATGTCCATCGGGAACATGTCCACCCACATCTCGAGCCGGCCCTGTTCGATGCCCGGTTTGTCGGTGCTGTCCAGCGGCCGAGTGGGTCTCGGCGGCAGCAGTGCCGGATTAAGCCAGCGCGGGGTTTGTAGCAAATTCTATCAAGGAGCCCGTGGTTTGCCTTAGGTACTCAAGTTTAAGGTTGCGAATATAATAAAATGAAACTGCAATGAATTGTTTTTGAACCAGCTTCATTACTAGACTGGTTTTGATTAATATCTAAGTACCTCTGAGACTGATTCTAGTTGAATTTCACTTGTTCGAAAGCTCGAAACCTGAAAACCTGAGGGAGCTGAGTAATTAATTGATTCCTGACTTTCCAAAGCTTTTTTTATAGTAAACTCTGATAAACATAATTACAATCCTCTAGACTTCAATATGTTTCAAAGCTTTGCTAATGATATGAAATTTGGATGAATTATTCATCAGTTGAAATGATGGATGTTCACCTGATCATAACTTTTTTCCATTGGATATTTTCCAGACAAATTCATTCAGTAGCATTAGAAAGGGTAGTAGATTCTGTTCCTGTGCCCATTTAGGGATAAATATCATTTTTTCCTCATTTTTGTGAGTTTAAGAACATGTGCTTTTGGATGCTAGTTCCTGCAGACACAGTTGAGGATTCCGACCAATAGGAATCTAGGATCGAGCTGTCCTTGTATCGAGGTCGATGGGGGATATCGCTCTCTACGCTACATGCTCGACGTTCTACACTCTCTGCTCTTCAAACTCTGTTTTTATTTTCTCCGGGTTCTCTTGCTGATCTCCTAGTACTCTCATACATTCCATTCAAAGCTAGTGTTGGTTATTAATGTATAGTGATTTCCTGTTGCAAATGCCTAACCTATAAATACCAGCGACCCGATAGATATTTGCTTTGATTCCTGTAATTACCCAGACTATAGGAATAGCAACTAGTATTCCAGGCGAAACCCAGGGTTTGTAATTGAAGCCTACACTCCCTTGGCTCCTTATTGATTCCAGGTCGATTCAATAACATTGACCCCTGATTTATACTGTAGGTACTGAGGTATAGGTATACCTCCTGTACCTGTCTCCACTGTTGTTACTTTGGGCCTCTGTACAAAAATGACTTTGTGCAGAGCAGGTGGAGTAAACTACCTCATAAACAATCTGGCGCCCGAGACCCCCCGTCAAATACTATAGTAGTCTTTGTCCGAACAAGCGCCAAAGTAAGGACCACAGAAATAAAGGCCGTTACAAAACTATCCCAAATAAACTTTTCTGGATTTAATATGGGCAAATTTACAGATCGCTCTTTCAATATCGAATTCTCTATATAAGCAACTATAAATATCAAAGTGAGATGATTGAGATGTTCTTGGCCCATCGTGTTCCTAAACTCATTTTTAAAAGAATCGTATCTCAAATCTCACCCATGGAAACCACCCCATAATAGATGGAAATTATGTAAAATCATCGTTTCTGGATATTTCTTCAGGGTAGGTATGTTTTTTCTGTTCGTTCTGATAATATTGTGAGGAAGAAATTTCCAGAAACGATGATTTTACATAATTTTCATCTATTAGGGGGTGGTTTCCAGGGTAAGTTTTGGGATACAAATTCTGAAACAGTGTAGGTATTTTTTCAATCTTCGTTATCAATATATTTTGAGAAAGAAATTTCCAGAAACGATGATTTTACATAATGTTCAGCTATTCGGGGGTGGTTTGCAGGGTGAGTTTTGAGATACAAATTCTGAAACAGGGTAGGTATGTTTGCTCTGTACATTTTGAATATACTGCTGGAAATTAATTTTCAAAAACGATGAATTAATTTCGTTTTGAAGATATTCATCTATATATGGGGGTAGTAGCACCCTATTTGTGGGTATACCTCAATTCATCATTATAATCATCATATTCATTATATCGACGCAAAACATTTGGATCGCAATGGTTTCAGTCCAAATCTGAATGTTAAAACGGGAGAATCGATGTGATAACATTTTACACCTGTGCGCATATACTATTATTTCGTTTCGGATACGGCGACCGTTTCTATCTTCACACTGGTGAAAGTAACAAAAATCAGATACGAAAAAACGTGAAGCTGTGAAAATTCATATATGTAAAAACTTTCTTATTGGATTATTGTTGGTACCACGATATTGTTCAATCTTTCGTAGCACACAGTATACGGGGTAGGCCGAAAAGTTTGATATCAGTAGGTAATTTTCCAGCGAGCACAAACATCCTTAGGATATTTTGGGATATTTAGAAAATGTTGGCATGAAGATGTTTTTTTGAGACTCGATATGCACTTTCCAAAGAGGTCGTTGAAGGATATTGAAAGTACTGTTTTCGTTCTTCTGTGGTATTTCTTCGTGTGCCTACTGAGAGATATCCCTGGGATGATTTGGGATGTTTCAAAAATGCAGGCATAAGGATGTTCTTTTGAGACGTGATATGCATTCCCAGAGAGATATTTGGAGAATATTGAAAGTATTGTTTTTGTTCTTCTGTGGCATTTCTTTGTTTGTCGGAATGAAGATGCTTTTTTGAGACACGACACGACCCTGTATTTGTACCAATTAAATGTCAGTAGATGGTAAATCGAAAGGGACATGAAAGCCGTTTTGACCGATAATGAATAGTTTCGACACAAAAAAATCCTAAAGTTGAAAAATCTCGATTTTGAACACCCTATATCTCTGTAATCATTCCCGCTAGACACCAAGTGTGATACATTGATGAAAGCAGCTCTTCAGGAATAATCTAAAAATGCAATGAAATCCAGGGTGTTCTATTTGAAAATCTAAAGTTGATGCCCGTTACGCTTCAAGGTTTCAACTTTGGAATATGATAATTGCAGGAAAATGTGTCCCTCGCCAAATTGAAATCGATCTGTCCGAGCGATTTTCAATTTTTTTTACTACACCGGAGATTAGGGGGGTGACAAGTTCTAGCTGGGACACACTGTATATCATTTCGTTATCAGATGACGGTCGAAATTTGCAGCCGGCTCTTGGAGTATGATATTTTATATGTATGTACAATAGTGTTACCTGATGACTTCCGTTGGATCTAAACAAATTTTTTTCTTCGTTGAAGAGTTGGGACACTCTGTATTTCGACCCTCCCCAATTTCATAGTGTAGTTGTAGGAACAAGTCGAACGAAAATTGTTTGGTTCATTTTTCATTTCCATTGAATACTTAATAATTGAAAAACAATACTCCCCATACATCACGTTGTATAATAGTATATTATGTAACAAGTGTCATAAACGTCCTTTTAGTAACGAGTATTTT